CAGATTTACGATAGTTTATATATCATATATCTAAGATGTGTATAAGAGACAGGGCCTTGGAAGGCCCGGGAAGTTTACACATTATAATAGAGCTGTGTTTGGGGTGTGTATGGCGGTAATTGGCAGGGACTTAGCCGGGGGATGAACGTTAAAACGATGCCCCACATTGCCGGGACTTTCATATGCATGTAACCGTTTCAGAAATTACATCCCTGGTTAAGTCCCTGCTAGGCCCGGGTCTTTAGTGGGAGGGGGAAGGGCATGGACTACAATTGACAAGTGCATAAATTCCCTTGTACGAATTAATAAGGGTAGCACCATTTCCTTGCCATACAAATTACATACCCCACTGACGTCTCAGTCGAGAAATACATGTAGCTGAAGTTTTTTCTCGCAAATCTGACAACAAAAACATACCGAAATTTCACGTTCCACTTGTGACTCAGTTTAGTTTCAGTTTCAGTTTTTATTGGCACACACTTTTACAACAGTGGCACACACTATTCAGTGGTGCATCCAGACTATTAAACTAATCAAAAAAACAAAAGTAAAAAAGGAAACGCAAAGGTAAACAGAAAAATCAGGGAGTTTAACAAAATTGTAAAAGAAAGGAAAAACATCCCAGAAATACAAAATTCAAATCAAAGTAAAAAACAAAAGTAGAGGTATCTTAAGTAGAGGTATTCTTCTTTGATGTTTAATTGGATTATTGAGATAAGATTCTAGCAAAACCTGGTTCTCCAACCTGCCTGAATGCCCTTTTAAAGGGTTTGCTGGTAAATGGGATAGTAACAGCATGACTTCAAACTGGCTGTAATTGCAATTGTTCCAAATGCCATTCTATTATTCCAAATTCCAAATTCAAGAGAGGTTCTTAGCGATTTTCCATTGTTGCTATGTAGTATGGGTTTTTAAAGATATGTTTAATGTCTTGTTTTTGATACATCTTGGAAGTTTTATAATAATGTAATAATAGTAATGAAGCGTCTTAAGATTTTTTTAAGTCTTAAATTTTATCAGTGTTATGATGTCTTGCCAAGGACAAATAAAGAATGTTCAATATCAGTAACTGTACACTACTTTTCTACAATAAATTGTTAAATTAATACTGTACTAAGAAAATATTCCTTACCATTAAAACTTTATCACAAATATTTGCATTCTTCCATCTGAATAAAAATAAGATTAATTTAAATGATGAATAAAGTACTGTTTAATTCCATGCTATTACTATACTGCACAATGGATAAAGATATGTACACATGGTGTAAGGTACCCATTTATACTCTTTGGTAGAGAAAGACCAAAGTACCACATGGTGTAAAGTAACTATTCATACCCTTAATGGAGAGTGACCAAGGTACACATTTATACTTACTGGTAGAGAAAGACAAAGGTACTGCATGATGTAATGTATCAATTTATACACCTTGGTAGAACGACAGAGGTAAACTTACACTTTTGATTCTTTAACTCCCTGGCTCCAAGGGTAAGCCCTGTCAAACACTGCGTATTTACTGCTAGGACTTTTCGGGATGAACTGAGCAACGGACACTTCCAGCATGTCACCGATGCCACAGATTGGGTGCTCATCATTGCAAAACCATGGCGCGCACACTCCAATAAAACACAAGTTACCATCTGAAAACAATTTTGATGCAATACCGTAAAACAGAAACCCCATGGGCTTAATCTCAAGAGGAAACCCATCACGAAAAAAAAAGCCCTCCTCTTAGTAATCTCGAAAAAAGCCTGTAGGCAATATTCAAGATAATATGGGCCTTTCTTTGATTATTGCGACAGCGTGTCAGTATAAATATTATTTTACTGTACTAGCATGGTTAAAATTTAAAAAATATTTTGAGTTCCATAATTGAAAAATGTCGTATAGCAGCAATTCCAAAATTGACAGCATTCATTTTGAAAAGAAGCCCACTTTTTAGTTTGCGAATGTAATCTGGAAAAGAAGCCCATCTTGAAAATAAGCCCATCCAATGAACCCCCCAAAAAAGAAGAAGCCTAGGGCTTCTATTTCAGGTTTTATGTTATATATTTATAGAACTTCGACAGATTATACTGTGAACATAATAGAGAAGAATATAAAAAAATAAGCCAAACATCTTGGTACAGTAAAATTGCTGCAAATAATATTCTGTATTATAAAACACTAAAGGGTGCCCTCTAGTATGTTAAACATCATGATTAGTTTCGTTAAAGGAGAACATTTAATCATGACCACTAAATGAATCCCAAATATTGTTTGATATTCACTCTGTGAAATCAAGACTTTAATAATCTATATTGTTTCGAATCCCAGACATTTATTGAGTATCTCTGATTTCCATTGTGATTTTAGGCCTTGAAATAAGTGTAATATGAAATAGATGGGTGCAGCGCTAGTCTTAGTAGCTAATTGTACTGTAAATGATTTGAAACATGAGTAGATAAGAGATTTTAATAACTATATGCTGTTCAATTGTAGTACCTGTATTGCACTCTGCTCAATAATCATTTTCGCTGCAAAAACTAGCAGTTTTCAGCTGCTTTTTACTTGAGTAAAATGGTACACATTGAGTGGGGGAATTCAAACAGCACCAAAGCATTGTTAACCCACCTGTGCAGCTTGGACATGTGAACATGTTTTTTGGTCCAGCACAAAGCAAAGGTTGACTGTTGTTTTGTATAATATCTATCTGCATGCATTTAGTTTGATTTGTGATTTTATACACTAGATTTATTATGGGTCAGTGAGTTTGTCAACAACAATTAAAGCAAAATCAATATTAATTATAACGTCATTGAATTAAATAATCAGTGAAATAACAGGTAATAAAACAGCTACTAACCTTTCCAGAAAAATGTATCCAGCAATTCTTTATCACTACTTTTTTGTAAAATCTCCTTTGTCATGTTTATCAAACGGCCAGCAACAGGCACAGCCCGACGAAAATTTAGTATTCTGAGGTATCAGAAGAAAAACACACGCAGATAGTCAAAGACACAGGTGGGAAAAGTGCGGCCTGCATTAATGAATTTAAAACGCTATGTGTGCGGCCCGCCAATAATCTTTTGCTAGAAAACACCATGTTTTTTTTTTGTGGCCTAACACCGATCATTTGGAAAGCAACATTAAAGCTGAAAATAAAGTGGTATAAAAGCAGTAATGGAAACATAAAAGTTTGGGTGTGGCCAATGATGTTAAAACAAAATTTCACTTTGGCTCGCCAACACATTTTTATGTCCACCCCTGGTCAAAGACATACTGTCGCTCCGAAAGTAAAACACAAAAAAGCCATAAAAATTAGATGGAATTTTGAATTACTCAATCAAAAAAACCAAAAGAGTTGTCTTCTAATAAATCATAGAAAAAAATGTTCAGTTTTCAGTAACTTACAAACGTTTTACTTTAAAAAATCAATATATAGCCAGAAATTTATGGGTATTAGACATGATGGCAATGTTTAAACATTATAAATCACTGTCAGCATCATGATTAATGTAATCACTATCATAATTGCTATCATAGCTGTCAGTTAAACTTTACCTATCAAGATGGAATGAAGCAATCTCAGCATTGTGTCTTTCTGGATCAAGCCAAAAAGGATGTTTTGATGAATATGGATAAGTATCATCTCTTTTCATTCTAATAAAAGAAATAAACAATGAAAATAGTCAACAATACAACAGAATAAGTAATAATTACGAATACATTTAAATATAGTACTAACTGTATAAAAAATTGACAAAATTATTTCTATACTTACAAATTAACATTACAAAAAAAGGACTTTCAGTAAAAATTAAACCTACAAATATACTCTGTTAGGAACAATCACAATAAAATATTTTTTAAAGAAAATATTTAAAAAATAATAATATGGAATAATATAAGATATGAAATTGAGACATTAAATATTACTTCATTTTCCAATGAATATCTCTAAGGCTATTCAATATTATCCTTTATGCATTATGAATTGTGTAATAGAATACGGTTATTGATTAGGATAATACTAATGCATACATGCATCACACTGTTCAACAATACAAAATTAATTTTATATTGTGTGAAGAAAGAACCTTGAATAACCAATGCAGTAATGGCTTAAAGGGACTTTAAATTACAATTTCCAGTGTGGTTACAGGAGATAATTAGGGGTGGTGCCAGTGGGGGATGGACATAGGGGGAAAAACACACATCGTCGGGGAGAAGAAAAAATTATGTATTTTTTTACATATTACAGGTAGAAACCCCAAATTGTCATAGGGTGTGTTTCTACAGATAAACACAAAATAATCAATTTTTTAAAACCGTTTTTTTAATGAGTACCAGACAGCCTGCTGGCGTTGCAACTGCATTTCTGATTTTTCGAAAAATCGGTTTTCGTGACGGAAATTACGTCACCATTTTTATACAACACGTTGTTTTCCTAACTGTATAGGATAGTAGCTTCCTCATTCCTGTCGTCATGATGACGAGGAGTAAGATACGATGTGGGGCGAGAAGACAAATGTTTTCTGCTGTGCTCATCGGCACAATTATGAACGACAACCAAACGAGGACAACGGTAGGCCAAAAGAGCGGAGAGTCCTAGGCTCAATATCCCCCAACCCCACAAAATAATTACAAAACGAATTCGTCACTCCTCATGTTTGTTGACGTTTTTAGCTTGTAGGCCTAGGACATAAACAAGAGGACAAATTTTGTTTAAAGTTCGCGCCTAATACGATCTAGTCTTTGCAGTGATTGACCTGGAGGTCACATTTCACCTGATAATCGCATTTTTTGTGTTGCAGCTAAAAGGTGCACAGCCAAAATCGGTTATTTGCCATTCAAACACGCTATCCATTGCGTGTTTTTAATCGATTTTTTTTAATCGCTTTTTTCAAACTGGTCCCGTTTCTACTGCGAGAAAAAAAGCGATTTTTCGAAAAAGCGATTTTTAATCGATTATTTCTTTCCAGTACAAACAGGCCCATAGTTTCCAGGGGCTACGCCCCCTGGATCACTTCTAAGAGATTTTGAGCGCCGCCCAACCACGCCCAATTACACTCTTGTCAGGAAGGAGGCGGACCCCCATCAAGCAAATCCTAGCACCACCCATAGGGAAAAGGCCAGGTTAAAATACAGGGTTGCAGTTCCTACTAGACACCAAATATCTAGGAAATTTTAGGCAACTGTTTTAGAACTTTGGCCAAGGAATTATCCTGGGTATTATTCAAATACTTCAGACTTTAAATTACAGTATGAGGTTGCGAGTTGGGAGTTTCTATTCTGTCCTCCTCCGATAATCTTAGGCGCCTAGCCCAAATTACACGATTTTTACTTTATACAGTGTTTATTTATCAAATTATAAATATTAATTAAATTTACCAAAATGAATGTTTTCTACCTCATAGGTTTAACAAGAGCAGTGTTCCCATTAGCAAACCAAAAGAAGAGTTTAACTTGGCTTCCACCTTTGAACATATGCGTCCTCTGAATTTCATTATGAGATAAGGAATCCAGTAAATCTTGCATATAGGGGGCGTCAGCAGAATACATGTTGTCCTTCATGATTCCTTTCTGAAACATTTGCCATGGTTTTTGTGAACTAAAACAAGAAAGAAAGTACTTGATGTTAGATAAATTTATGATGTATAATGTACAAAAATATATAATGTATAACATTTTTTTAAATTAAAATCCGACACTGCAGTATTAAAAAAAAACAGTGGATCTAGATTGTTATTGCAAGGAATCATAACTGGTAATCTATGGTTCAAGTAGTCACACCTTGTGGTTGACATTTTTTCTTATCTTCTGCCAGTGTAATAGTCCAGAGGAATGCTTTTTGGAGGCTCTGTAGTTTTAACTATTTTATGTCTTACTTCACACTTGGTAGAGATTTCTTAGCGGAAGCAGGTCAACTCGGGGGTGAGTTGATATGGGGCCGAGTTGACGCAACTTCTTTTTAGCTACCAAGAGTCAGGGTGGAATGCCTTTTAGCATCTCTTGGATCTACTATTGAAACACATACGTCTACCACCCAACACCCTGGAAATCAGGACAGCCTCTCACATTCATGCAAGCAAGTAAGAATCTCACAGATAATCTTGAAATACACAATATTTGCATGTTTTACTACTTTATTATCAATTGTCTTACGGAAGCCATTGACGAAAAATATCAACATAAACAGCAAAATAAAATTAGTTTTAGAAAAGCTATTTAAACAGATCTTCTAGAAGTGACTTCTTCGAAATAGGGTGGCACTCCAACGCTAAAAACTACATCATTGTTGCTACTTGGGAAATAGTGTTAAATTGTTAATTTTCCTGTTTTAACTGTCTGTGTTGTAGTAATGAACTTTGACATTAAAATTTAAATTGCTTACTTTTCTTATGTAGAAAATTTGAATGAGAAGATAGAACTGTTGTTTCCAATTAATACACAAAAATAAATGTTCCAATATATTCCTTAATTTGTTCATGTTCCAATATATTCCTTGATTAGAAACTTAAATTGGATGGTACTCAAGTGGTATAAACAAAGAATTTTTGATGTATTTTTTTAAAATAATAACATTAGAGCAATAAAGGATTGAATTAAATAAAATGGCGAACAGAAAAAAGTGCAATTCTTCTCTGCTCCCTGGGGAGTTCCTTGTCCAGTTGTTGCAATATAAATGCACAACCTCAATGCCATAACACTGGTAAATTTCCTTGCCTACTGACACAAGCGAAACTCAAGCATTCCAGCCCCCATCCTCAAGAATTAGAGTTGAAACATCAACTGCTATTCCAACCAGTTCCCCATTTACTTTAAATAAATAATTGTGATTGCAGGATGGATGCTTCGTCACAAAGTCATACAATGATAAATCCCTGTTCTGATAATTATATTCTATGACAAAAACATGTGAGATGATGTGAAAGGTCATGATGACATCACATCACCATATATAGGCACATCATGACTATTTACATCTCCCTGATTATATTAGGGCATAAAACAGTTTTGTTTTTGTTCAGAACTGAACATATCTTAACAGATTCGGTCAAAGCCCATCTGTTTATCAAATTTAATATGCTATTAAGAGGGGCTAAATATAGCTTTGCTCTATAGATAGTAGGTCTTATTGATATGTTGATTATACCATAGACTCTATGATTATACTTTCTTTCTGTCACCTCTTTGGTGTTTCTGTTTATAGGTTTTTAAATCATTTGATCTTGAAAATGGTTCCATGATGGACCTGAAACGTCCATGTTTTGTCAAATTTAACGGTGTGCACAGAGTTTTATGTTTCAACTGTTTTTTTTTTGTTTGCTTTAATTCCAATCAATAGATTTTTGTGTCATACTGTAACGTGAGTAGCATTATCGAGTAGTATGCAGTCAGTGAAGCATGAACGAACAGGAACTTGAATTGAATTTAATGATATGTTTTGACTGGATTCCTTTGACAAATAATAAAAGATTGATCTTTTCTGGTTTAAAATCCTCATGTTTTTACACAAATGATTGCTAAAATTCAACAACTGGATGTATTGTACAGTACTAGCTGCCACGCTGTTATCCACATTGTTGTAGAACACACAACAAAAGATATTTTAACATTAAAAAATGCCAGCTATGATGCCTTTGGTATGCAGAGCAACGGTGTGAGCTGGGGGAGAATGAGGCTAACAATTTTGCATTATAGATTGAACATTTTAAATCAAATTGCAGTTTGGTGTTCGAAATGTTTTTTTTGTAAATTATGTATTTATCTAACAAATAATGCTGCAAACCTATTTGCAACTGCGACCTCACTGGTTAGGGCATAGGTCCATGGTTAGGGTTTGTACAGTACGCTGGTTTCATCCTGGGGGGTGTGAAAATTGAGTATGCGAAATGACCCCTATTCCAATGAAAACTTAAAGCCCCATTCTCAGCAGAATTTCAGTTGTTAAGAAGAATCTGATTTTTATATATGTTATAAAGATTTATAAATATAATATGGAATTATTAAATTCAAAAAGAACCGCTAACTATAATACGGAATTGCTAGTTTAGCCTAGCCCCTACTACTTGGCTAGTAGCCCCTAGCTAGGCCTAGGTTGTGTCGTCAGTTTCTGTGGTTATTTTTTATCAGATTGTCAATGCATGCATACGTACGACGATAGAGCAAAATAAACTGTTTGTTTATATTATGATAAACTGTAGGCCTTTGATAGCTACAGTATGGAGCATTTCGACCAGAATTCTCATTATTTTCCATTTTCATAGCCTGATTGCTTTAGCTTTAGTTGCGAATGCTCAATTGTTGCATAAAAAGTTTGATTTTTCTCATTTTTATTTCTCACCCTCTTCGCAGACACCGTTTGTTATTTGGTTATGTTCAATGATTTCATGAGACATCGTTTTGATAACTTCACATACCCGACAACGTCACTTAGTCAGTGCGCATGCTCACTGTCTGACCAGCATTTCCAAGCGCATGCTCACTGTGATTTTATAGAAATTTCGTTATTCTGTGCATGTTCATTGGTTAGTTCAGAATTCTCATTCCTTCACAGTAAAAGCTTCTACTGCATACAGTTCCTTAATGACTGTTTACTCTTGTTGGTAGCAGCCTAAAGGTGTGGCATAAAAAGCCTCCAACATACAGTAGGGTGGTAAGGCCAAGTAAAACAAAAATTAATTTCTAGTCCTAATATTTAAAAAAAGAGAGAATGAGGGCACTTTTTTACTCTGAGATGGCAAATCCAAGATGGCCGATGGGAAACAGCTACTACTTTCATTTTTTACCAAGTAGACAATTTGAAAGCAAATAAAAGAAGCAGTAGACATGATTCATACCATATGTATCCCCAACAACAAACAATCTCAAATTTTACTGATGTGAACATTTACACTGTCATTGAAATTATGCTGATTTTGCAATTAAAAAAAAAAATTATTATTGAAATGCAGATTTGGTTTTCTATATTTCATTCAACTACTGTAAAATCAACTGTACAAAAATCAATAGCACAAATTTAATGTAAACACTGCACAATACAGTACAATCTTCCCTATTCTGAGCCATTAAACAGCCATCCATAAAGCTATATAATTCACAGATGTTTTTAATTAGCACTGGATAGCACCTGAGGCTATATGCAATGGATTGGATTGGAGTTATTCGGTGTGAACCAAAAGGATAACCCACGATAAGTCTGAAGGCAACATATTTCCAGTGGGGGTCCTTCTGGTGGTGATTGGGCAGTACACCGGGAGACAATCCCATAATCTTTTCCGAAGAGTGCACTACGTTCTTTAATGTGCACATTGGCCATAATGCACATGGGACTAATAGCTTAAACGTATCGACCGAAAGACGGTGCGCTAACATAACTTTAATTTCAGCCCTGTAGCTGAAATACAAGGAGAGCAGCGATGAGAATTGAACCGGAGACCAAGAGATCGCCACGGTTCACCGCACACACAGTGGCTAACCACCACTTTAGCCGAATGGGTTAAGAACCCCCAAGTTCAATTCAATTTAATGAACTTCACTTTCACACCAGTGGCACACATAAAATTGTTTTATGGTGCGTCCGAAATATTTTAATACTAAACATAAAAAAACCAAAAAAAACCTTAACTGTTAAATACAAAGAGACACATAGTACAGTTTCAGTACTCAGTTAATTTTAAACAAATCTCTAAACAATTATAAACCTAATACAGTACAGTAAAATGCACTTTAACATCAAATTTACAACCGAAAGTAAACAAACGTAAATTACAAATGCATGTTCAAATGCAAATTTATGAACATGTCATTATAAACATACAGTAAGTGGTAAAATTAAAATGTTTTAAAACCATATTAAATACTCTGTTAATAAGGTCTAGATATTTCCTAGACTTTTGGTGGTACAGTAATTTAGTTATAAAAATATTTCTTTCTTTTATACAACATACAATTAATTGTTTACAGTGAAAATCAAAAAGGTCATAATCTATATTATTGGGATACACACTAAATATATCATTAAGTAATAAGTGGCATTTACACTCATTAGACCCATCATAAAATACATTTCAATAGGATGATAATCCCCATGTTTCAAGATCATTTTAAAGCTGCTTAAGACATTTATCACATATTTTTGCGAACTTTGGATGTGCTTCTTTTCGAGGCTAATTTTGCAAAGTAATGAGGGGGTATAAGAATACTGAAAATTTGGGAATTTTTACTACTGTATAAAACAATAAATTTAAGGCCACAGTAAGTAACATCAATCTGTATCATGGAGTACATTATTTTAAATCACCTAAACTACTGTATAAACCAAGCTTGTTTTTAATTTACAGTATTTTGTTTTTTGAAATTCATGTACAGTACAGTATATATTTATATGTAGAGTACTGTACTATTTTGGACAGAAGCCTATCTTGAAAAGAAGCCCATGGGCTTCTTTTCAAGGCTAATTTTGCAAACTAATGAGGGGGCTCCAATTTGAGATGGCCTTCTCCTAAGCCCCATTCATATCCAACTATGGCGAGATAATTTTAGTGGATGAGCTAGAAGATCTTGCCATAAGTTTGAGTATGAACGCTCAAGTATGGCGAGATGAAGGCCACAACTCGACTAAGCCCGTCGAGTAAATTTATGTTGACTAACTTCTTAATCCAGCCTAAAGCCAGTAAACAATTAAACAGCAGGTGGCCACAGGTCATGAATACACCAATCAAATTGAAGCAAAGTGACCTTCCATGCTATCATAAACACCATTCAGAATTGACGCAGTCTCCCTGATCTGTGTACTGTACTTTAATTTCAACAAGTCTTATTTTGCAAATGATGACCGAAAAGTCAGTAAAGAAACGCCATCTCTGGACGTATGCACAGGAATGTGATTTAATAGATATCTGGAGGGAGCCAGAA